ATATATATATATATATAAATAAATAGTTTGGCATAAAACTGGCTGGAAGAGAATATATGAAATAGTTGCGCCTACAAGAGGAAACTCTTAAATAAAAAAAGATAAAAAAAATATTTTTCTCTAAACCGGCTACTGGTAGCCAGTTTCTCAAGCTAGAATATATAAACTGGCTAATAATTATCTGTGGACATCACTCAGAAATCCCAGCTTTAAACAAATTCAGGAAAGTTCATTTCTTAAATTAACCCGACCGGGAATCGAACGCGGCACATTTATATAAAGCAACGTATCCTCCACAGCGCCATAATACGTCTCTTTCTATAAATTAATTGTCACTATAAAGATCACTTAGCGAAAAACTGACTTACAAGCTAATGAGAGGCGTGGTGAACGCCGAGTGGAATAAACTTCTTAAATCTCTTAAGCGAAACTCCACTAGGGGTAACGCACCCTCAGGGAATATTAAGGGATGAGGGAGGCGTCGACGTGGAAAACTTCAGCCCTCGATTTAAAACGTATGCCCTCTCCACTTCTAATTATAATTATTATAAGGATTTAATTGGTTTTGGTAATAATCGCTTCCCGATTTCACACTTGTTTTCTATTTTGTCGACCGCTTTAATTACTTTAAAACATTAAGTTTTGTACTTGTGGTACTTTATTCGTATGATATGGTACTATCAAATAGCTTAATAAATAAATCAATAATTTTTTTATACAACTTAGAATGCAAACAAGCTGATGATGACGGCCCACTTGATGGAAAGTGGTAACCGTCGCCTATAGACATGAGCAGTACCATGGACATAACAGAGTGTACTGTTTCGCCCATGATACCCCCCATGCGTTGCCATTCCCGAGGACTCAGGTGTTATTCCTCTGTACCCTGTAAATTCACTGCCATGTCCCACTCTTCAAAGAGATTCTTCAGGGTCGGCAACACGCGCGTAATGCCCCTAGTATTGCAGGCGTTCATAGGCTACGGTAACCGCTTACCATCAGGTGGGCCGTACGCTTGTTTGCCAATGTATGAAATGTATGCCGATGTTTGAAAAAGTATAAAAAAAATTCATGATAATCCCTTATGAACTCCCGCGGTGCAGTCTCGCCTAATGCGGGGTCCAATGTGCTCATGTTTCTGATAAAAATCATATGGGATGGAAGAGTTTTCTAAATCGGTTTATAGGTGACGGAGTTATGATGTAACCTCTTTTTTTGAAGTCGGCTAAAGGCATGCACGAAGAAATTATATGAACTCCCTCATTATTATCATATTTCTTCAGGGTCAGAAACACACGTATAATGTTTTTTTTTTATACAACTTGGAATGGCAAACAAGCTGACGGCCCACCTGATGGAAAGTGGTAACCGTCGCCTATAGACATGAACCAATACCATGGACATAACAGAGTATACTGTTTCGCCCATGATACCCCCCATGCGATGCCATTCTTGAGGACTCAGGTGTTATTCCTCTGTACCCAGTAAATTCGCGCCATATCCCACCCTTCAAACCGAAACACAGTTATGCAAACACAACTGCTTCACGGTTGAAACACGAATGGGACAAAGGTACCCAAGCAATCGACTTTTGTACAAAGTCTCCCACTGGTCTACAATAATCGCTTATCATCGGGCGGGCCGTATGTGTGTTTGACAGCTCAACGATAAAAAAATACATATCCGCAAGATAATTACAATCATGCTTCATTTCTAAACGGGTTTGAATTAAAATTTGGTAAAAAAACAACACATCTGTATATCAAGTATCGAGAGGTACAAAATTTTATGTCGTTCATGAAACATGTGTCATGTTTCTTTACCAATAATGTTAATTTTCCCTTGTAGAACGTTGTTTTCACCTGTATGTATGTCTAGATAGGAAATATTCATTAAGATTTTACTGAACTAGGTGTTATTTTGCGGAAATCCATATCACTGGTTATTTGTTTAGAATTATTTTGTTTAATCCCGCTACCATTACTATGTGTGTGACTGCCAACACTCGAAGATTGACCGCTACTATTAGTACCAGAAATTCTACAACCATCCATATTAGTCATCAATCTCCTACCGCGCATGTTTTGCGACACGTATTTCACCTCTAAACGAGGCATTTTTACGCAAATATTGCTGTTTGGAGCCTAGTGTCGACTGTTCGACGCCCAAACTGGGAATCCTAACTAATATGATAATGATACTAATCCATGCAAGTAAAACTGCAGGCTATAGCTAGTATACACATAAAAATTCTATGAAGGATCAATAAAACCCATGATTTTCCTATGGTCCCATATCTAAACATCCGAAACACCCTTCATAGGTAGTTTAAATTAATACACGCGAGTCAAAAACAAAATGCTTTGGGAACATGATTAATGGCATTACAAAGGCTATACAATATATTAAGCCCGGCGTGGCTCTGACAGCGGGGGTGGTAAGAAATCGGTGGGGTGCTCGCCGCGTGGCCCCACTCACGAGAGGAAGCGATATTACTCCCGCGCGGGAACTAATATCTCGACAGCAGACGTAACAGCACGTAAAAACGCGACACTCCCCACGGAAAGTGTGATAGCTCACGTTTCAGTGACGGTTTTTAAAGAAAAAAGCCTATTTAATTTATATTTTTATTTAAATTTATTTATATATTCAAAGTGAAATACAATTTGTATATAATTTTAATTTAATTTCAATACTTTTTACTGTCCGTTGATTAATTAGACAAAATATTAGTCTTGTGTAAGATTAATATCATAATCATCGTCATCTCAGCCATTATCTGTCCACAACTGAACCTCCTTCAAATTGTCAAAAGGAACGGTCTTGTGCCACCTGCGTTCACTGACTTCCTGCAATGCATTTAAGGTCGTCACTCCATCTCCATCTTTAAAGGGTCGTTCTACACGTATTAATATGTTTAGTACAATTTTTATATTATCTTATTGGGTTTAACATACATGCACAAACGGGAATTTTATGAACTTGGCGTGTTTGTCGTTTCCGACAATTGTTTCAACTTCATCCGGAAGTCTTCTTCCGTTAGGGGGCGTTCGGTGCTTTACGTCACAGCCTCTCGCCTCGCAATGCGGACTGCAGCTAGCAGCGGCTGCGAAGACGTCGATGCGGGCAGGGTAAAATTCCTGTTGCACATGTATGTTATATGTATGTAAGAATCATTAAAAAATGTTAAAAATAATATTATTGGATTTTAATTTAAATAGAAATTTAATACAATACCAGGTTGTCTGTAAGAGATTGCTTTTAGCGATAAGGCCGCCTTTTGTATATGCACATTCTGTATAAACACTCCTTGTATACATCTCTACTGTGCGCAATAAAGAGTTTATTATTATTATTATTACAATAATGCAAGTAAATCATTATTCGGTATATTAAAAATTCGGTATGTCTTGATTATTAATTGTTGATTCCACAATAAAAAGGTTAAATGTTCATTATCTTCGTTGTTTATTAATATGAATAAATAAATAAATCAGAAAATAAACTTCATTACTTTTTTTATTTGAATTTTTAAATCACATAAACGATGAGAATTAAAATCGCTACGCTCCAAACTTGGACCGTACACCAACAATTGAGAATATTCGCTCCGTATTGTATTTATAATGGTGTTACGCGATTAAGGCACTTAATGCTGTACCGCTCGTTTTATTCTGATTTGTAAAGCCGTAATCTTTAATTATTAATCGAAATGACGATCCTCGCAGCATTGATAAATATATGACTATATTTTTTGTTAAAGTAAATATAATTAATATATTTTTGAACTAATTATGGGATTGGACGTTGCTACAGGTTGCTACGCTTTGTTATAGATTGCTACGCACTGCTACGGGTTGCTACGCTTTCCGAGTTTCACTCGCTTTTACCGACTTCAAAAGAACATGAGAGTTCTTTATTGTGTAAATTACGTATTACACAATATCTTAGCTAATTCCGAGCCGATTTTAATGATGATTTTATTACTGGAAGGGTTTCACATTTTGGTGCCATTTATTATTTTTATCAAGATTGAAAAATGCTTTATTTAAAAAAGAACTTAATTTTTTTATCTTATTAGATTTTACGTTTGAATGCCGTGTTTTTTTTTATGCAACTTAGAATTGCATACAAGCTGACGGCCCAACTGATGGAAAGTGGTAACCGTCGCCTATAGACATGAGCAGTACCATGGACATAACAGAGTATACTGTTTCGCCCATGATAACCCCCATACGTTGCCATTCCTGAGGACTCAGGTGTTATTCCTCTGTACCCTGTAAATTCACTGCCATATCCCACCTTTCAAACCGAAACACAGCCATGCAAACACAACTGCTTCACGGTAGAAACACGAATGGAACAGAGGTAGCCAAGCAAACGACTTTTGTAAACACTGCTGTACTAAATTATATATATATATATATATATATATATATATATATATATATATATATATATATATATATATATATATATATATATATATATATTACATATATTTACACTTTAAATTGTAGAACGTTTTCACTATTATAACCTTCGAGGTCTAAGTTAAAAACTGGCCTTTATATTATTATGGTATGCCATCAAGAAGTATTTCATTGGTATTCCTGTTACTGAAATCCGAGTGTTTTCTACAGACGGATTTCATAATAATTTCAACCTAACCCTAACCTATTTGTAGAGAGCAAAATCTAGTATATATAGTGATTTAAAATCTTTCCGTGTGGTCCCCGCATAGAATAGGCCACCCCTTCCTTTCCCGTGGATGTCGTAAGAGGCGACTAAGGGAAGGCAAGGGTTGGGTCAGCAGCGTCTCTCTTAAAACATCTTCAAAGCCTAACTGCGGTTGCCAATCCGTCTGCCAAGCGTGGCAACTACTGGCAAAACCTCCCTAGGGGGAGGCTTATGTTCAGCAGTGGACAGTTAAAAGCTGATGTGGTGATGATGATGATGAAGATCCTATGTATGTGTTAAATGTTTGCCGTTCATTGCAGAATACCGTCAACCGATGATGAACAGTCCGTGGCCCATCGCGAAGCCGATAGCCAGCCGCCCGATACCAGTACAGCATCAGCACCTCCAGCATCTACTGGCGCATTGTCATCATCCATACTTAGCTGGTAAGTAAGCCCGTATGGAAAGATGTATGGAAAGATGTATGAATGTGGAGGAAGTGATATAGGAAGGTTTTTTAATTGATGATAAAATTATGGTAACTCCGCCAGCGCTATCGATATACGCTGGCAGGGCACCAGTGAAGGATGATAGGTGAGGATGAAGCAGGTGTTTCGGTTTGAAGGGTGGGATTTGGCGTGAATTTACAGGGTACAGAGGAATAACACCCGAGTCCTCAGGAATGGCAACGCATGGGGGATATCATGGGCGAAACAGTATAGTCTGTTATGTCCATGGTACTGCTCATATCTATAGGCGACGGTTACCACTCTCCATTAGGTGGGCCGTCAGCTTGTTTGCCATTTTAAGTTGTATAATAAAAAGGTAAAGCAAGTCAGTTGGCACATCGTGACAAATTCAATAATAAATCAACCACGGATGGAAACCATTTCCAGGGGGAAACGTGAGGAGGCCGACATGATAGAGTTTATTACATATCCACTATTCTATATTATATACATAAATAAATAAAGCTCAATGGTCGAATGGATGGGCAGCAGCGTCTCTCATAAATTGTCACCAATGATTAACTGCGATTGTCAACCCGCCTGCTAAACGTGGCAACTTCTGGCTAAGCCTCCCCTTATAGAGATGGCCTATGTTCCTGGTGAACATTGAAAGCTAATATAATAATGATGAGAAAGAGTGAGACAGCTTGATTGCCATTTTGAGTTGTATAAAAAAAAACCTATATTCAATCCCGGCACCCGTATTCCTGCTTCGATTATCACCACATTACTTCATACCAGAAAAAGCGCAAGAAAATAACATTTCCAAATATATTTAAGGATCGGTATTATCACAATAATAATGCAATACATGTATTTTTTTATAACCAACGAAACACAAAGACGAATAAAGCATAGACTAAAAATAAAAAAAAAATCGCGTTCAAAAGAGCGCCCACCACAACGTTAAAAAGGCAATCTTTTGTTGTAAAATGTAACAACAAATCTTTAGTTGTAACAACAGTCTCCCCGCACGCTCAATTTGATGGGCATTTGTTAAAATAAGCTATTGTTGTGTTAATCTCCAAGATAAACATTACGAGGTTGGTAATATGTTTTTTATTTTTTTTTTTTAGTGATTAAATTTATGGCCTTGGATACGTGTTGTTTATACAAGAATAGATGAACTTATTTTTATTAGGTTGTCTATTGTGTACCGAAAATAATAATAAATATGCTCGCGACTCTAATCCCTGGTGGGGTGGTCAGAGATATTTGTCGACTGTTACCGTTGATCGACTTAACACTTAATATTGTAGTGGTTAAACCTACCTCCGACTCTCAGATTATTTTATTTTAATAATAATAATTTATATTATTAATCTCTATTTATTTTTCCGTGTGATCCCGGTATAGAATAGCCCACTCCTTCCATTCCCGTGGGCGTCATAAGAGGCGACTAAGACCGAGCGAGGGATTGGCAGCAGCATCCCTCTTCAAACATCTCCAAAAGCTAACTGCAGTTGCCATTCCGCCTGCTAAGCGTGGTGATTATTGGCAATATACCCCAAAGGGGAGGCTTATGTTCAGCAGTGGACAGTTAAAGGCTGATATGATATGTGATGAATATTTTTTTTTATACAACTTAGAATGGCAAACAAGCTGACGGCCCATCTGATGTAAAGTGGTAACCGTCGCCTATAGACATGAGCAGTACCATGGACATAACAGAGTATACTGTTTCGCGCATGATACCCCCTATGCGTTGCCATTCCTGAGGACTAAGGTATTATTCCTCTGTACCCTGTAAATTCACTGAAACTTAAATGTGTTCATACGCTCTCTCTTTCTCTTTCATGTGAGCGTTGACCGAAACGGTTGTATCAATTGATTTCAGATTATAAATACTCCTCACAATAAATAGGTATCTGCTTACTTAAAAATTTCTCATAACAAAGAAACTATGGGGAGATTACGAAAAAATTTAATACGGAAACGTCATTTCTAAGACGAGATATATTAAATATTCGAAAAAAAAAATATAATAAAACGCTTTCAACGACCACAGTCCAGTGGGCGAGACCGCACAACCCATTTTTTTTCCGTTTTATTGGCACATTTTTTTTTCCCGCTCGAATTATTACATCGCCACCATTGTGAAATATCAATGAGCTATCATATTTTGTGAATTAGTATTGTGCGTGGATTATTGACTATTCCCTATTGTAATGCAGTTTTTTCTAATCTAATTTCGCCTCCCGAGTCCGTTTGCCATTTGGTTCTGTTAATAGAAATAGAATTTGTTGAATAGGATTTTACCAAACTGTGAGTGGTAAAAAAAAGTCTTTAAAAAGTCTCTTTTCATACAACAATCATATTAATATCATAATGACCACTATATCGAAGAACTTTAAAATTATCTACTTGATCTAAACGGTGTAGCTCATGTAGATAATTTTGAGGTTCTTTGAATGTACATATAATTTTTTTATGATATCGTTTCGTGAGTTTTCGTATACCTATTTTGTTTATGCAACTTAGAATGGCAAACATGCTTACGGGCCCACCTAAAGGAAACTGGTAACCCCGTCACCTATAGACATGAGTAGTACCATGGACTTAACAGAGTATACCGTTTCGCCCATGATACTCCCCATGCGTTGCCATTTCTGAGGACTCAGGTGTTATTCCTTTATGTCCTTTAAATTCACTGAATTTTCGTATTCCTATTGTAGGTATGTTATTTTTGCAGTGAGACCGGCGCAAGCGCACACACAAGTGTTCCCACTACCCGGAGGCTTCCCGTGGGCGCATAGTTCAAGAGGTGAGTAGGTACTTATTAGTGAGTACCTAGATACAATTCGAAATTGTTTTATTAAATTGTTTTTTTTTTTTTATGTAAAATGGCAAACAAGATACAATAAGCATACTATTGTCTATTAAATAGAATCTATAAAAAAATTTAAATTTTTTAAATATGGAACTTTGTAATAATTGAATACGAGAACGTAAAATACTTTAGTGCGCTACGTGCGTTTGTATTAAATTTTAATTTTATATAAATACAATAAAAAATATAAATCTTCAAAAAGGTCTCTTCTGGGTCGGCAACGCGCACATGACACTCCTGGGGTTAGAGGCGACCATAGACTACAGTGACCGCTTACCATCAAACGGGTTGCATGTCTCAAATAAAAATTAAAGAACTGTATTTATTATTTATAATATATATATATATATATATATATATATATATATATATATATATATATATATATATATATATTATATATATATATATATATATATATATAATATGTTGTGTGGGGTAATATGTTTTCATAGTGATTTAACTACGTAATCGTAACTTTACATGGTATATGTTATATTCTTTAGCAATATAAAGATTGTAAGCGTCTTAGTAATAAATAGAAATGAAGCACAAGTACTCACAGTTCATTTAATTTAGATATCATACTATTATATCATATATTTACATATTTTACTTTGTATATGAGATATAACAAATAATATAACATAAATACCCAACTTCTGTTAGTCCATTGACACTTATTTAACTATAGCTTCTTTGGGACTTCCATCAACAATAATTGTGGTATATTTTATATAATGACCACGTGGTTCACTATACTTGTTCACTCTTGATACGTCAGGGAGCTCCGCTCTGTTCAACGATTGGACAAGAAATGCCTCCCCACCCAAGTAACAATCTTTTATATCTATAGAGCCGAATTCGAGTGAACAAGTCAGTGAGACCACGTGTTCTTACAATTTCATTACTTTTTATTTAAGTATCATGACAATAAATAATTATAAAATCAGTTATATATATAAATTAGTGTTTTATATACATTACAAAATTTGGTATAATAATAATAATTTTAATATTTTATTATATTTAATGTAATTAATCTGATTTTTATTAATAAATGTAGGTACACATTTTAACACAAGATATTTAAGAAAATTAAATTATTTTAAAATAAATATCTAACACATGCATGTTTGTAACCTTAGTGGTATCAAATAAAGTCATATTTATATATTACATAAGAGTACATCTAAATAAACATATCTAATATTTACAACATTTGAAATATGTAAATTACATTTTTTAATATTGTTCTAAACATAAAATAATAATAATAAATAATACACTAAATTCTGAATTTATTTCAAAGGCAAACCTCGTCGAGGCATGATGCGAAGAGCTGTGTTCTCGGACTTACAACGCAAGGGTCTGGAAAAGAGGTTCCAAGTCCAGAAATATATCTCTAAACCGGACAGGAAGAAGCTAGCGGAGAAATTAGGCTTGAAGGATAGTCAGGTAAGAGGATTCTTCTTCTTCCGAACTATTAATAAATACTTTAATGTGTTCTACTAGGAAACATGGGGGGGGGGGGGGAAAGGGATTGTTAACAATAGAGTTTGACAGCCCCATTGCTAGCAATATGCCCTATCAGGTCGACCCCCACGTGGTTCCCCCTGAAAAACATCGTGAACAATTCTTGTTGAACTCGTCACGATGGGCCAACTAAGCTGCTTCATCCTCACCTATCATTCTTCACTGGTGCCCCGCCGGTGTATACCGATAGCGCGAGTGGGGTTACTATTCCATTATCTCCCATTAAAAAACTAGGAAACACGATAAAGGTACAAAATTCAATTACGTTCTAATAACCAGTAGGTACTAAGTTGTTCGGTATGGTCCCAGCATAGAATAGCCCACCACTATCTTTCTCCTTTCTTCCTCATTGGTGACGTAAGAGATGAGAGATGGACAGCAGCATCCCTCTAAAAATATCACCAAAGCCTAACTGCGGTTGCCAACCCGCCTGCCAAGCTTGGCAACTTCTGTCAAAACTTCCCGAAGGTGGAGGCCTGTGTTCAGAAGTGTTCAAACAGTATGAGGATGATAATGACTTAGTTGTACAACGTATTTATAGAAATCATTATGACAAAATAAAAAAAAAAATAGTTACGTCGTACTACGTATGTCCACAAAGATGATTCACAGCATATAAAAAAAAAATTATATACGTATTTTTTTACTTACGCATTTCTTTTTTAGGTATGCTCTCGATTTAACAATTTAAATTAATAACCCTATCTTATTACCTTACAAATAAACATATCAATACAAAACAAACTTTACCGCCATTACAATAAATTCGTAAATATGATGAAATTATTTTAACGTGAACGTGAACGTTTCGGTTGCGTTTAGCGAACGCGTTCAGGGGTTAGCAACATAGGGTGTTACAAAAAACTGTTACCCCCGAGGGTATAAGGGAGGGGTCTGTCACAAACAGCCGCTTGAAGGGGCGAGTCCCCGCCCCTCGTAGAAAAGGAGCTTTAAAACAATTACCGGTCGTATTCGATATTTGAATTTTGAATTCCGAACGGGTTGGGTTTTTTGTTGGCCGCATTGATTTGATTCCTTTGCTCAGTTGAATGGCGCGCAAACCTCCACGTTTAATCGGAATTAAGTTGATATTTTAGGAAAATCTACATTTTTAGATAAAGGACTTTTCACATTATTTTTTTTTAATTTATAAATGATTATTACACTAACTATGTATATTTTACTTTTCCTATTTTACTACTAAAATAATTAATATTATGTATGTACCACTAGGTAGCTGTGTAGTGAACATATATGTATATTACAGCGATGTTGCTTACGTGAATCAGTATATAAAGTACCTTAAATGTTAAGTTAGGATATAACCTATCCGTTTACTAAATTTCATTCAAATCCGTTCAGCCGTTTAAGCATGATTGAGCAACAAACATTCAAACATATTTACAAACCTGTATGTTTATTATAAGATTAGTAGGCAGTATGATGATACCATTCAAATATTTCGTGGAACATTGTTCTTCTTTTAATTTATTAATCTACTTAAAATTAATAGAGAATATTAAACCACTCACAAAATATAAAAGGAAACCGACGGCCATTAAAAATGTTTCGTAATAAACTCGGACCCCGCAGATATAAACGGCATTTACCGGGAAAATGCGGAAGTAATCGACTTTTACCCTCCCTATCACATTTTTCTTAAATTGATAAAATGTGACAAAGGCATACCGGTGTATTGTTATAAGATTGAAGTCTGTTCTCTAATTTATTTTTAAATATAACAGCGTAGACAGAGAATCAAATATAATATAAATATAATAGATATCTGTAGGCCAGGTATTAATCTATGTCATATCGTTCCTTAATCTATATCTGTGATTTTTTTTCCACAGATGTTATTTAATACTCATATGTTTTATTCGATTCTTTATCTATGATCGTAGTATAATAAATTGGACTATTTTATTTTCTTATCAACAAAATATTTTTTTTTGTAAAAAAAAGACAGCCAAGTATAGAGTAAAATGAAATTATATTTTCGTTTTTTCCTAAATATCTTCTGTGTATAGACATCGACTAGTAACATATTTTATTATATTAATAAGATTGAAATAAATATATCACTTGATATTAATTTGGATTTGACAAAAATAACTAAGAGGGTGAAACGGCAATCTTAGCAGCTTAAACGGGTGGGGTGGGGGTGAGTAGAACAGATAATTGCCGGCGTTTATCGAATTAGGGGCTGCGTCTCGATAGGGGATCGCTTTGGTTTCTTAGTTGAATAACTGGGGTTCACATTCGATTCCAGATTATCATGATTGATATGGCAAGTGAATAATTATATATTATATTTATTTATTATATCTACTGGATTAGCTTAACAGTCTTCCAATACACTCACCCAGGAACATATTATGATAACAAAGCAAAAACTTAAAGAAATAGCACAATTGTTAACAGTTTTTTCACAGTATCCTGAACGAACACAGGGACAATATGGCTCATGAAGACGATTAACCGAAAATAGAACGTCCCACCTCATCCTCACCCATCTCAACTGTTAGCCGCACTATGCCGATTCTCTAAGTGTTTTTTCACGCTACGTTTGAAGGATCTCACATTATTGTGTATAGTGTAGTGTAGTATATAGTATAGCATTTACGTTAAAACTATTTTTATTTAATATACGTACCAGTTGCGTGCAATTATTATAGTAGTATAAAATGGCCCTTCGAGCCGGATGGTACTTGATTAAACAGTAGATGGTAATTAAGGATGTTTAATAAATATATAGAGGTCCGAGAGATAGTCTTCAATGAATTAACAGTTAGTCGAATACTCGTTAAGGAAATAGATAATTTGAACGAGTCAAAATAACCATAAAAACTAAGATTTGCGAGTACTGTTCGAATTACGGACTATTCTCGGACGAAATCCTGAGTGAATATTTTTGTAGCAATGTAGGTATCGCTTTGTAGCAAACAAAAGCACAATGAGTCAGCATATATATATATATAAAACTTCATCTGTTTCTCGTAATACGTAATAATGAGATAATTAGCAGACAATATGTAGTATTTATTATTGAGTAGCTGGTAACTTTATTGTAGTTTTAAAGTACCTATGCTCATAGGCGTATTTAAAGGGGGGACCGGTGTGCCGTACCCACCACAGAATTATCTGGTACTACCCTCAGGATGCAAGCGGAGTTTTCGGCTATCGGTCTAAATATACATAATGTGCCTTTTTGAAAAAGCCAGACCCTTCGTCTAGAATTTTTTTAAATACTTCAACGCTAATCTCATCTCTTCTCAGTTCTCAGCCCTAGTTAGTTTTTTTGACAATTCAAAATTGATTTTTATTAAGTTTACTTAAAAAAAATGCTACTTCATAGAATCCTTTTATCTCAACCTTGATTTTATCTCAATCTTGACATCGATCTCTTTATAAAAATCTTTATCTACTATTGATAAATTTAACTATAATAAACAGGGGTAGACAGTATATTTAAATAGATCTAAATTTGTATCCTCAACTACTCATTCAATCGAGGCCCATTTCCCCTTTCACGTGCAATACAGCAAGCAATAACAACATAATCTGAAAACAAAAACAATATACCTTTTATTCTCCCTTCACAAAGGAGTTTAGGCAACATGGCGCCAAGCAAATTGCCCGCCAAAACCATACAGGCCGATTGTTCCAATACACCGGTACATAATTTCACAAAATGGCAGATAATAAAAAAAATATATCGCATTCTCTATGGTATTGAGCGTCTTGAGACAAAACGTTTTATTTTCAAGACTATATTTCCCGCTCGAGTTGGAAAGAGACGGTCATAGTTCGGAATTGCGTCTTAAAACCCTCTTCTATTGGGCGATTCGTATTCGATATAAAAGTGTGGCCGCACTGTATTGGTGGGTCGAGTTTTACTTTTTATAAGCGTTTCGTTTCCTTGTTTGCAGGGTTTTTTACGATTTCTGAATTTTATAGGGCACTCGCGAACAGATTTGCCGGTTATTGAATGTTCTCGAGTTATTACTCCCTTGAATGTTTCAGTTGTTTGTATTGGATTTTTACTTAGGGTTAATATACACTGAGGACTTTATCGGATACCGGCCGATTTTGCCGCGTTTAATCATATTCACTCACCGTCGCGAGTCTCTGTCGTATAAACTTAATAATACTGATTCAGTGAACAGGACACTATAAATGGAGATTTAAGATCTGTCTTTAACCTTTATGAGGCCGTCGCTCCTTCTAAGGGAGGGTCGACCTACGTTTTTGCTGATGCGGGCTCGCTAGTAAAGAAAGCTGTTCCATTAGTTTAGTCTGAGATTATTTGTTATAATCAACGATTTAGGCAAACACATAGTGCGTTATATTTTATCTAAATTTGTAGACATTAAATTAAATCACAGGTTTTTCAAAAATTGTGTGTTTCACAAAATTGACAAATAAATTACAGTTTTCCAACTGTTACAATTTATCGTCTATAAAAACTAAATAAGACATTAGAGTTTGCGTGCATCTTCTTATAGTATTTAACGTCAGGTGAGGATATGGTCAATCACCCCCGAATTTCATAATAATAATAATATTGTGATTTTAAAACATATTTTTTACACAACTTAAATAAATAAGCCAAATAATAAATATATACAAATAATAAATAAGCCAGGTTGTCTGTAAGAGAAGGCCCGCCTTTTGTATATGTTCTGTATAAAAGTATACATCTTTACTGTGCGCAATAAAGAGTTTATTATTATTATTATTATTAAGCTGAAGGCCCACCTGATGGAAAGTACCATGGACTTAACAGAGTATACTCTATAACTTATGACACCCTCCATGCGTTGCTATTTCTGAGGTTACTCCTTAGGAATGACATTGGTGTTATGCCCCTGTACTCTGTAAATTCACTGCCATATTCCACCCTTCAAACTGAAACACAG